TTCACTTGCTCCTTCAGAATTCCTCCAAAAAAAATCCAAAGTCATGGTCCTCTGGTAGGAAGTCCCGGGGTCCAGAAGCCTGTCTCTCTTTCAGGGTCTGTGGGAGCCTGGGTGCGGCTTCCCAGGGTCCTCCCCGATTGTGGTGGCTGTCAAGTCAGACCCACAGGTTTGTTTCCATGCCTCGCTGGGGAGATGAGGGAATTAGGACTCAAGGGGCAAAGTCGGTGATTGTCCGGCATGCGCAAGGAATGCGCAACTCTCTAGATAGTTCCTTCGTAACCCGGCTTTTGAATTTTTATGACACAGTCTCAGAAAGTTTCTTGGTGAGAAAACTGCTGGGTGATTTGATAGTTTATTCCTTGGCAATTTGAGAATCAATATCCTTGACTGGCGAGTTTATATGAGATATAATAATAAACTCCATGGAGCTGAATATGTCAGTAAAAAAAGGGTGGTTGCCACCCTGGAGGGGGCGGCTAAAGGAGCTGTCTGAGATTCTGGAAGCCTTCTTCCTTTTGTGCCAAGTCAAAGGCCTTAGATTACAAAAATGCAAGGCATTTCCCACACAAAATAAAAAGTGGGAATTTAGTATTAGGTGATCCCCCCAAATTATCTTTTTACCAATCTTTTTACCCATATGCCTATTTGAGGGGACGATGATACTTTCCAGAAAGGGGAGTATGACACAGTGGTTGAGTCCTCCGACCGGCTCGGCCCCTCACTAGGAGGGTCTCTGGGTAGGGAATTTTACCTTTCCTGTCCTCAGTTCCTTCTGGACATGATCTAGGGATGACATTCCCTGGGACAGTGGCTTATAACAATTACATGAGAAAAATGTTCATAAAGCACTTACCACACTGTCTGGCAGAGGTGTGAAATAATCATCATCAAACATTTCCAGCCTGAGCACAGGAAAATTTTGAGCTGAGAAAGACCCCGTTTCTGCCAATTCCACTGTCATAACTTCAGCATTGCCACAACATAAAGCATTATTTAAATTACTAATTTACTTTTTAGAAATAGGTCAAATACAGGAGGAAAACCCATTCTAACTTATTGTCAGTTTAAATTGCCAGTGAAATCTTTGGTCCGAGCTCTTATTTTCCCTCCCACTTTGCCTCACAAAGCAAAGAAAAAAGCCTATTTCATTTGTGTGAGGATTCTCAAAGTCTGTATGGGGCTTTAGCCTGCCGAGGTCCTGCCCTTCAGAGGGTGTGGCAGGAAAGATGGACCACAGCAAGGCATCACGCAGTGGCACTGGGCCACTCTCGCCGGCATACAGCCACTCAAATGTGAATGGCTTTCCTCAGTTGAGCAAATCAACCTCACTTTTGTGCCAGAATCCATCTGGTTGTAAAATGAGGCTAAAAAAAGAAAACGCGGCTAAAAAAAAAGAATTGTATCTGAATCCTTAGAACAAAAGGCTGATAGGTCTTAAAACAAAAGGCTTTCTCCTCTACATGTATTTGTCTCTTTGTGTCCAAGGTCATATTTTCTTTCTCTCCTCCTAGTAGGCCAGTTCCGGAAACAACATACCAATTTTAAGTGGTTGTTGAGCTGGTGGGCCTTCTTAGAGGCAATGGGAAAATGTAGCTACTATTTTCATGATAAAGTCACTGTCCTATATGATTCCCCGTGGCTGTAGTTAGAACGCATCTTTTGCTTTGTTTGTAAAAGAAAAGGTGAAATGGTCAAGCAGATCCCCTGCTGTGCAAACCCAGGATAGACAGAACTCGCTTAGTGCTAGTGTCCTCTTGTAACTTATCCTAGTCATGGAAAGGCTTCACCTTTTCTGGGAGGATGGGTTTATGAGAACTCAGTTGGCTGGGATTTTGAGGATGTCTTTTTTTTCTTGGGTTCTACCTTTAAAAGTCAAGGTAACAAGGTTTTCATGTGGGGAACTGGAATTTCAATTCAAAGCACATTTTGGGGAAAATGTTTCATAATGCTGGGGTATAGACCAGATGGCATAACTGGGTAGCTTAGAACCGGACAGTAACTTATTCTAGGAGTATTTTATGAAAATTTACAGATGGCTTAACTCTCTTGCATCATGCACGAGAGCTAGCACATGTTTAAGAAGAAAGTAACAATGAAGATGTCATTCCTAGTCTGAGCTCTGTCCTCCCCTCACCTGAGGCGGCCCGCATATTTCTTCTTGCTCCCTGTTTCCTGATCACTGATGACAATACTGTTCCTTATGCGTCTCACAGAAATGCCAGGAGGATATATGAGATGACATTTATGAAATAACCTGACCACTTTAGAATGAAGTACTCCCTCGAAAGCATAAGCTTTAAATATTATAGTCAGGAAATTATTTGCAAATGACCGTGAACCTCTTCAAGCCTTGTTTGAAAACTCACCCCTTCCAAAAAAAGCTTTCCCTGGTTGACCTCACCCATTCCAGTCACTTCTTAATACTTTAGCACCATAGCACTACATCCACATCGTACATTTCACTCTTGACTGATTACATCATAACCTTCTCTGTCCAGCTCCCCACACCGGAAGCCTCAGCACTGTCCTGACTCCTCCCTCTCCCCCACCCCATTTCCAGCAGGTCACCCAAGCTGATTAGTTCCATCTCAGAGTCCTTAGACTCGGCCCTTCCATGGCACAGCCATCACCTCCTCTCCTCATCCCCTTTCACCTGGTTGTCTGCATCTCCCGATCCTAGTCTTTCTCACTGTAGCCTGGTCCTTTCCAGTTCCTCCTCCCCTGTGCTTCTGAGAGAGCTTTTAAAAACAGAAATCTGATCCCACCTACTCTATTTAAAACTCTTCAAACACCTTGGTTTAGCACCTAGGATAGTTCTCACTGGTTGCCAGCCACTCTTCTGGCCTTAACTCTTGCCGCACTAGTCTACCCGCTTCATGCCGTCCCAGGGGCAGTGCTGCTTGAGGTGCATTGTGAGGTCCCATAGGCACCAGCCCGAAGAACAGCTCCCTGTGTGTTCTTGGCTTCGGGCTGATGAGCTTTTACATTATGCGATTCCTATTGCCTTCCATGTCTTCTCCCTACCAAATTAATTCCTGATGGTTTTAACGTTCTAGCTGAAGCCCCACTTCTACCCCAAAGACCTTAGGATCCTCTCTGACCCCTTTTTGTATCGGCTTTCAAGGCACATCCAGTTGCTTCCACTGAATGATGTGCTTGATGTTTAAAAAAAAAAAAAAAAGTGTTCTGTACTATAACCATTCACTGATCTCATCTATTTCTTCCGATCAGTGATGGGTTCCTGGCAAGCCAAAGACTATGCTTTTTGATTTTGTACTCTGGCCCTCTTGCATAGAGCAGGTCCTCAGTTAATGTCTGCTGAATGCACAGTTGAACTTATTACTCTGTAGGCATGATCAAGTATCAGCCGCCTGACAAAAACTGTAGTGACGTTAGGCCTTGTGAAAACCTCTGGCTCAAGAAGTCTGCACTCTTGAGGCCAAAAACAGACCAGTGTTGGTCTCTAGGATCATTTATACCATCCAAGTTTTTACAAAAAGATGGATTTTTTGTTTTCCACATTAACAAGTCATTTCTTTGTTAACCGAAAATGATTTTCTTGGTTGAGACTGCTTTTGACAAGTCTCTCTCAAGAAAATTCTTCCCTCTTCTTTTACTACCTACAAGCCATAAGATGGTCTAAACAAAGTCCTGAGTGCCTTGGAGTTGAGGATATCAAAGAAGGCAAGTTAAAGTATGTAATTTGTACCATCAGATGGACTTGGGAGTGCCCACAGCTTATAGACTGTCTGGGTGAGAAGGGCTCCCGGTTATTGTTGGAGAGAGGATCTGCCTCTCCCCGCCCGCTTTCTGTAGCTGCTGCTAATGACAGCAATGAACAGACAGTGACCCACTCGTGGAGAGAAAGGAAAGTGTCCACGTACAAGAAACCTGGAGTCAGAGCAACTTTCACTCAGCCGGCTTCTGTGGCCAAACAAGGGAGAAGAAGATTTCCCTTCAGCAGAAGCATGAGTAGACCTGCAGGTGTAGGCAGGACGCTCTGTCCGATGTCTAGAAAGTATATCTTTGGAAGCCCTGGGTGACACTCATGCCCTCCCAACCATTTCCAGTCACTCCCAAACGCTGGTTTCAGGAATGGCCTCGGATAAGCAAGTTGTGATCAGTGGCGGGCCGTGAGCCGCCTGCGCAAGCCCCACGAGGGCTGGGGTTGTAAGGAGCTGTACGCACAAGGTCTCCTGTCTGCCTCAAGGGAAAGGTACAGATGGTGCAGGAGGTAAGAGCTTGGTTCGGGTCCCAGAGGCCTGTGTTCAAACCCTAATCCCGCTGCTTGCTAGCCCGGGAATCCTGGGGTAAGTCATTGACCCTACAGAGCCTCAGGTCCCTCACTGGTAACATGGGGGGAAGCAGCATCAGCACCACAGCACCATATGCCTGGAACACAGTAAGTGGTCAATGAGTAGCAGTTACCGTCATGACTGCCTCTGCACGGTAATCCAAAGTCCCTTAGACCTATGGTGATGCCAGTTCACCTGCCACCTGGGTCAAATAACTGTGCCACGTTTTAAAATTAACATAAAGGGAGAGAGCCTGACTAAATGAGTGCTGGTCAAATGCTCTGCTGTCCTATTTCCAGCTGATAACTTGGGTTTCCTTATTGCCTATAGTTTGACTCCGGGTGTCGTCTCACTCTCAGCATTCTAAAACAGAAGCAGGAATACGGGATGCTCGAAGCCCAGCAGCATGAATAATCACTCGGATATGCCCCCACCCCCACCCCACACTTTGCTGTGAGCTTCCTTGGTGGTTTCGGTGGCCTCACACAAGACTCTTCGCTGAACAAGGGTAAGATTCCAAGACTGGAACAGGTGGCTGGCAGCTTTTCAGCCAAATTCCATTCTATGAAGTCTGTGAATTTACTCAGAATTGAGGTGTTGGCTGGTTGGGGACAGGTGAGAGGTGTATGAAATCATAGAGTTCCAAGAGGGAAAAAAGAGTAGATTAGACTGAAATTCATCCAAAGGATTTAAAATATGATTTACCTGTGGGCCGGTTCCTGGTTTCAAGTGAAAACCAAAAACAAGTTCAAGGTTCACAATTTTTTCCTCATTTTCTTTAGGTTCATCTACAGAGTCCTAAAACAGAAAAACCCAGCACCATTTATTCCAGACGGGACGTTGTCTTTTTACTTTTCCTTCTCATATAAAAGAAATGGTTTCTCAGCACTAGTGTTTCCATTCTAACCTTCTGATTCCCATTTGGTTATTTTGGATTAAGCTCCAAATTCCAATTACTGAAAGCAAGAGAAAGGACACCGTAAGCCTTTGAGAGCATTTCCACATGATTCATCTCGCACGCCACAAATCGAATGTCACCGTCTCACAAGGTTTTACAATGCCTCTTGCATTGTGCAGTTTTACCCTAGAAATGCACTTAACACCTGAAGGCACGCTAGGAGATGGAGAGTATCTTAACAATCAAGATGTCTGGAAGCTATTCCCAGAGAGGGGCTGCGTGCCTACTGGAGCAGATGACAATGAAGGGCCAAGCGGAGGAACAAAATGGACCTCCAGGAGTTCAGAGATGGAAACCACAGTGAGTGAGTGAGCGGAGGTCTGTGTATTAACCGCAAATATCTACCAACTGTATAACAAAATGGGCCATCCACCTTTAGACTATATTCAAAATAATTTGTCAAAGATGCTAACATATCATTCAGACAATAATCACCCCCTACTGTAACCTCCCCACCGCCCCAGGGCTAGCGATAATCTAGAGCCCCAGCATGTGAATTCCTTTAGTGACTTACGTGTGGGACAAAGGTCTCCAGAGACAGGTGGGAGGCCACTGCACTAACCTACAGTGTTAATACCTACCTCCCCTCCCCACTAAGGAGTCATGTGTTGTTCTTATCACGAATATATTGTTAATATTTCAACTTACAGGAATCAAGCCTGTTCAATTTATGCACATGCTACTCTTCACTCAAAGGGCCTTTTGTTGGACAGATAATGATTAAATTTCCCTTCAAACAACAGTTCCCGACATTGGCAAATGTAGGTGTGGATGTCGCAGGTGCATATATCAATAAAATAGCACATTCTCAGTAGAAAAAAAAAAAATCTTACCTTAATTAGTGGTGGGAAGTGAAACAAGTTTAGGTAATCGTGGGTTAATTTCTCAATGGCTGACTGTAAAAAAAGAACAGAAAACAAAAAAGAAACACATGACTTTATTAATGATCCGATAATGCCACAAGAGGATTAAAATTATTGTGTACCTATAAAGGCAATCTTTATTTATGTAGCCCATAAAATATCTTGGGGATGTTATTGTCCACCATCGATGGAGACTAAAAGTGATGGTTCAAAGTATTATAGGTAGTTTGTAATTATTTAATGGAACAGGAAGATATTTTAAAGATGTGAAATCTCAGACCATTCTTCAAATCCTGGTAGAGAGTCTACTCGTGACAAGTTCATGTTCTGGTGTATGGACTGCACTTGTCGCCCTCAGTAACTACGGGAAAAACGACAACATGAATATATCACCAGAGACTCCAAGGCTGAAATCTCGCAGAAGGATTTACTGCATTGTAAGGGCTATTCTATGGGTGTGTGTCCAGCACTCCTTCCCCCAATGAGGCACAAAGAACTCTTCAAGGAAAGGAGGACAATTTAAATCATGATTTTTTTATACTCATCAGGTATAATCCAGCTCTTCTGTGAACTGAACGTATCACGTAGAGAGTAAAAAAAAGTGCCAATGTGAGAAAAATTAGATGCATTTTTCAAAGCGAAATGAAAGCTGTTGACACTTGACAATGTAATGAACACTTAGGGATGTTCCTTCCACACAGCCCCTCCACATGAAGGCTTCCAGGCAGAGGGAGAAGGATGCTGAGCTGGGTTGAGAGGGACAACTGCGTGGCAAAAGGGTAGGCAGAAGGACCGTTCGCTTTCATGACCCACAGTTTAAGGGCTGAGAGTCTTTCTGAGAAAGTACACAGACATGACTGTGCTTTCCTTAGTGAAAGAGCAGAGAGTGGCCGGCACAGAGTGAGTGAGTGTGTGTGTGTGTGTGTGTGTGTGTGTGTGTGTGTGTATAACACGTCTGACAGGTATCGGGAGGGCTCCTTTAGTCTGGAGATAGTCACCTGGTGTCCTAGCCCCAGAGGCCCAGCTCAAAGCATTATTTAATCCTCATATCTCCATGAGTGGATCCCGGAGCACCCAGAGCAAGCTTCCAACATCCTTTCCCTTTAAACTTTCTTTGTCATATAAGCTTATTTGTTGGACATACCCATGACCCCGCTGAGTTTAGTGGAGCGTCACATGTTGGCCGAGCCCCCCACACATGGCCAGTAACACACCCATGCTGCGGGCGTCTAGCGGACTTCTGCGGCTCCCCTCTCTGGAGAGTCCTCATGCCCATATGCCTTCTCATCCTTGAGTTCCGCGGCGGTCTTGGGTTCCCCCACGGATAACTGGCCTGCTCCTTCTTTTGGAGCTCAAGGCAGACACTCTGCTTCACAAGCCAGGCACACTGCCCTGACCCCCTCCCAACTGACTGCTTCCAAGGAGGGCTTTTTCTCTATGCGTGTGTTTCTTGGCTTCTCTGCAGCATTAGACTCCTGCTTTTATAAAGCTTTCGATCTTTGGCGTCTGTGACACCATTCTCTCCTCCTCCTCCCACTTCCCGGGTGGGCATCCCTTTTGTCCTCCTGCCCAGGTTCCTGTGGCCTCTCCCTGCCACAGCCCTCCTTCCTGAAGGCACATGGACCATCAGACAGAGACAGCATCCCAGCCGAAGACTATGTGGTCAGGCGTGTACGTGCAGCTGTGCTTTCCTTTTTATTTATCAAGGTGAAATTCACTACCATTAAATTAACCATTTTGAAGTGCGCTCCATCAGCAGCGTTTTGTAGCTTCCCCGTGCTGTGCAGTCCTCCCTTCTATCTAGTTCCAAAATGTCTGGGGACCCTGTGCCCATTCGTAGTCACTCCCTATGCCCTCCTCCACCCAGTCCCTGGCAACCACTAGTCGGTTTTCTGTCTCAAGGATTTTACCTATTTTCTGGATAGTTCACATAAATGGAATCCTACAACATGTGACCTTTGGTGTCCGGCTTCCTTTACCCCACAGGGCGGTTTTGAGGGTCATTCCATGTCGCGGTGTGTGTTCACTACGCTTTCCTATGCGAACATGCAAACCGATCTCTTCCCAGTGGAATCCTTCCCTTCTCTGTTCCCATTTTCAAGACACCAGCGAGGCCTTATTATTTTGTGTCATAACCTCTGAACTGGTCTTTCAAAATCCAGCCTCTCCTTTCTAATCTACTCCACAACTTCCAGAAGCAAAGTTTTAAAACATGTCAGATCTCAAAACTTCCAGTACTCCCCAGAGCGGGTCAAATGCCAGACCCCTGGCCAGAAGCCCTGAGCTGTCTAGGGTCTGGCCTTGCCTCCCCTCTGCTTCTGGGGCCTGAGGCCTCCCCAAGCAAGTGAGGCTTCCATCAGACAGAGTCACCTCTTACTCTTTGCATCGGACCCATTTTTTCTGTTCCCTTACACTCTCTTCTGTTTCTTTCTCTCTTAACTCCTTATTCTGTCTGGATTCTTGTTCTTGCCTTTCCTGCTCCTGTCTACATTTCAAATTCTGCCCTTCTCCAAGATCCAGCTCAAAGGTCCACCCCACTCCGGGTCCAGCCCATTCTCGCTGTTGCCCACCACCACCCGCAAGCAGAGGAAGAGAATAGCTCCTTTGCTCCCAACTTCCAAGGCTCTTCTGAGAAGTTGTATGTACATGTTTTCCCTCTTCTCTGGGACGTACGGTCCTCGAGGGCGGGATTCTTCTCTGTATGTGCACAGGCCCAGACTTGCAGTGAGTACATGTTCCCAGATTTTGCTGAACAATAGCAAAATTGCTGAAAATCTGCTTGCCCTAATGATACCAGCCAGCATGGAGGGGGCACTTTGTCCTAGGCCAGCTCAGGATATTTAAATCACTATGGTTTTGTGATGTACAGCTTCCCTACCCGCTTTCCTCCTGACAGCTCCTTAAGGAAATGTTGGGTCCTTTATCAAAGACAGCAGAGGGGAAGGGGATGTGGGAGCATCTTATGTCTTCTGCCAAATAGGACAAGATTTACCACATTGCTCTGCTGGAACCCTGAAATTTCTCTGCACCAGAGAAAATAATTTCTTCCTACCGCAGCCCACGTAAGCCAGCTCAGCTTTTCAAGATGGACGTGCCCACCACCCAGAGGTCAAGGTTAAATTACTCGCCAGCCATTGCGATGTATGTTTAGGCATGAGGTTTCCTACCCGTATCCTAAGGGGGAAAAGATAGTGAGGTTAGGGCTAAGGCATCACCCAGCCAGTGCTGAGGGGCTGTAAAGATATTCCTTGCATGGGTCCAGGGCCCACCGAACAGAGGTAGATGGGTTCTCTTTGGACCTCAGAGGGGATTTCTTTGAAAAGGCCACATCAGTGGCTCTAACTGAAGTAAAGGGAAAAGTACTTATGTAGGTAGAGACTTAGTGAGATGTGGGTTTGGCTAAGAAGCTGCTTTTTTTTTTCTTTTCTAACATTTCCTTCTTTGATTTCTCTTCTTTCCAACCTGTGCCCACTCCTCCATCTGCCCACACTGGGGTTGAGGAAGTTCAGGGAAAAAACTGATTTTATCCTGAGATCTCTCTTGAAACAGACCTCTGACTAATAACAATGTCCACATTGATGCCAGCAATTATCTGGTTTGAGTAACTAAAGAGCAAGACAAAACAGATCTGGTTGCTAAACTACAAAAAATAATAATAAAGGCAACAGCAACAAGAACAGGTTTAGCTTTGCAACTGTTCAAGACTACGGTGTGAGGGGACATGTTAGGATTTCCTGAGAAATCGAAGGACAAATTCCCCACGTGGTGGTGTCAGGTGCAGGTCAGAATTACAGACGCAGTGAACCGAAGGCGTGTCCCCACGACGTGAGGTGCTATGGTGGCTTCGCGTTTGCCCAGTCTGTGGATGGGTCCAGCGTCTTTAGGGACTCCCAGTGGGTACCCAGCCCCCCTGGGCTTAAATGAAGTCGCCTCTTTGCCTGCTGGGTGGAGGGCAGTTCTGCAGGCACCCCACCGCCATGTGTCCAGTCCTGGCACACAGCATTCTCCCACTCTGCCTTTCCACCAGCGGTGCCTTACCCTCGGAACACCTCTTCCCCCCCGCATCCGCTTCACCAGGTTCACGCCTGCTTGTCCTTCAGCTCTCCTCCTTAACTTCTCTGCAGCAGACTTCCCTCAGTCAACCTCACGCCTCCTTTGTGGCATTTCCTACAGCTGTCATTTGATCTTTCTTGCATGATTAACACCTACCTATCTTTTCTACTAGACTGGAGATTTCTGGAGGCCCTGGAGTGACATGCGGGTGTATCTAGGGGACTTCTGCTGTGCCCAGTGCTAAGCCTTTTGCTGTTGGACTATGAGGAGGGGTAGGGGTCCCTCGGGGACAGCAGCTAGTTATCAGCTTGTGTGTAAGTATTTCAGTACTGCAAGAGCCCATGCGTTCATGGGCGTATCCTCAGCCCCGGACACAGGGTCTGTTATGGGGTGGGGCTCAGTAAGGATCATTGACCAACCGTCCTCCCTCTCTGAGGTACCTTCAGGTGAATGATGTGCCCCTTGGAGACAATGCCCATGTCTTTCAAGTCTTCTTCCTCCAGGAGCAGCAGTCGCTTTCCTGTGATGTTGTTTTCCTTGAACAGGCTTGCATATATGCTCATCTCCGCTGAAGAGTCCCCTGAAGGGATCAGAAGGCAGAACAGCATTAGACTAAGTCCTGTCCAGAGCAAAGTTAACTGCATGAATTAAGAAGGGTAAGTTATTCCACTTGCCTTTTCTGACGAGCTGCTGAACCCAAAAATACTGTGAAAGAGAGGACATACATGGTTTTCAAGATTCACACGTGCTCAGTGGCCAGACGTCACAGTAAAACACACTTTCAGTCAATTAAAATAACTAATTTTGCACCGTAATTTTCTGACTCACCCACAAAGGGAGAACGAAAGACATTTGTGTTATGGTTTTAAAACTTTAAGCTTTCAAGGAGGAGAAAGCCCTCCCTGTGGAAGCCTTGGGACACTTAAGGGAATGTTGGTTTTCCTCCTTATTTGGGAGATTTAAAAAAAAAATTCTTCAAAAAGGCTCTTACTTATAATGATTTTTCTCTTCCCCTGCTGGTGGTCCCTGGGGTTGCCTAGGGGTACGGGTGTACCCGGGAACTGTATGAGGAACAGGGACCGCACAGCAGTGGGCAGAATGTACCCTTTGTTCTAGGCCTGGTCAGGAAGTAGCTGTGAGGCCCAAGACAAGTTACAGCTGGGAGCTTCCTGTGTAGAAAGAAGTTGGACCCAGTGACCCTCAGTCCTTGAATTTCCCTTGGCACGTGTTTACTGGTAGCCTCTCACATAGATGGAAGGGAGGCCAGACCCAGTCCCAGCAATTCTCTGGGGAGCCCTTGACCCTGGGATTTTATTTACATGGCTTGAAAACCACTCGACCTCAGAGCAAAGACTAAAAATAACTGTTAGAGCTTACTGCACCCCCCCCCCCCACTGTGTCTCTCTCTGTCAAATAAGATCTTAAAAATATATATATAATATATATATAAAACTTTCTTCTCAAATGAGATGGGCCAGCTTTGCAGCTGGAGTTAAAGAGATTCTATTCAGGCCCATGAATAAAGGAGATCCTAAGTTGTTTTTCCTTGTTAAGCAGGGCTGGTGGGAACTTTAGTCAAGGAGGCCTGAGGAATGGGAAGAAGTAGAGGCAAGTGGCACCAGGTTTTCTCACCCTATAAGCCAAAGAAGTTAGCTTATATCAAAAGCAGTTTTACTTCACCAGAATGCCATAGGCAGGAAGGAGAATGCCCCAGTCCAGGAACCAGGTTGAGTTAGGTAAATAGACCTTCCCAAGTGTTTCTGGTAGTGAGCTTGCACACTGTGGCCTCTGGGCTGTTCCCTGGGCAGGGGACTTGCTAAGTCTGGCGTTACCGCTGCTTTTCATATGCGGATACCTGAAGCATATACAGGGGACCTGGACAGACATAAGCCCCTGAAGTCTCCGATCAAGAATTCTCTGGACCTTTGACTAAAGAAACAGCGAGATGCAACAGCCTAAGAAGGATTGCCCCTCAGGGTTTCTACCCAACTGTAAAGTCTAGAACTTCCTTTGGACTTAAATAGTCTGTCCTCGTCCTCTGGCTCCAGCTGCAGAGAATGTCTGGGCGCTCATGGCCATTCCTCCTTGGGAAGGCCAGAGTAAAGATGGACCTGTCACTTCCAAACAGGCCTGAGGTAGGAAGGAAACCCAGTTCGGCAGAATCCCAGCTAGCACTGCCTTTACCAGATCTTTCTCCGCTGTGGTTCAAGACCATCCCTGGTATTTTAGGAAAACTTAAGATCAATTTTTTTTTTTTTTCACATATGTTCACTTGGTATCCTGGATCACTCCTGTAATGTTGTCATTGGTATTCATGATCGTATTCTGGAATACCTTTCAGAGCAAATAGGGAGGTGGAATCCTCTTGTAAGATTTGAAGAGATACTTGCTTTGCTCTTGAGGCCTTATTTTAAATCATTACTGCATTAAAAATAGAAAAACAAGGAATTTGTCAACTTCTCCTAGTGCGACTTTCCTAAGGCCCAGACCCCTCTGGCTGCATTTGTGACTTGTGGACGAATGTCTGAACCACCTGCCCGGGGCCAAACTAGGCGTTAACAGAAGCCAGCTTACCACGTCGTCTTCAGTCCATGAGCCAATCTCAAAGGAGGGCAGCAGCTGCATGGGAAATATGAATGCAGTGAAAAACAAAAGCAATATTATCATTGTCTTTTTGGTTTATCCCTTGTCTTCCCATCTTAGCTTTCGGCTGCTGCTCTGGCTTGGTTCCTCCTGCAGGTTATGTTCAATGGGAAGCCCCTTTCCTGACTTTCCTGACTTCTCCGGAATTTCGCAGTGCTCCAAGCATCGTGCCCACAGAAGCCAACCACAGGCACCAGCTTCTTCTCTGTAACAACTCCTTGCACTTGGTGAGCTGTGGCAGTGGGACCGTAGATCTTGAGATTGTCCTCTCTTGGTACTTGGCACACACACCTCCCGCAACAGGCCTTGGCAGTTAAGGAGTTTCTGACGTTTGCCAGATACCAGAGCCTCCTTTGGAATTCCCAGTCAACATGGGGATCATATGATTATTAAGGAAAATTCCAAAGCAACCAACCCCTTGGTGATCAGATGACTTGCATGCTTCTTCTTACAGGAGAATTTCTAAGTGGTTAAGCAAGTGACTCACTTGCATTAATCAAATATTAGGACCCATGGATGGAGAAGGACAAGTGAGATGGGACTCTGTCCCAAGAAACCCAGGTTGCAGAGTTTGCTGTAATGAAAATTCAACTAACCTCCCTATTAGGTGTAGACATGAAAGGCAACTCTGCAAAAGAACTTTAGCCTGCATCATTTTCAAAGCCAGAGAGCTTCTTGCTTGACTAGATGCCCATGGCCATAGCCTAAATGAGACTTGCCTACATGATCTGAAAAAAACTGGTGTGTCCTGTGTCTTGAATGAAAAAATCTGCCACAGCCATTAGCCTTAACTAACTTACCTCACCAGAATGGTTGGATTGCTCATAACATGGCAGTGTCTTGCAACCTTTGTTAAGATATTTTTTTGTGAATGAGTTGAAAAAAAAAGTTGAATTTGGTTGCTTTTACTATTACTCTAAAAATCAGAGGGTGGGTGAGTTAATCCTTCTAATCTGCAAATATTTTGAACTCACATGCTCTAATCCCAGCTAGGAAACGTATGCCCCTCCCTTCCAGCAGCTTTTAATTTAATGGGGGTGAAACAAATATGGATTATAGATGGAGGAGTTCAAGGCTGCCTTCGTGTTGGTTCACTCAGTGCCTGGCAGTGCCTGCCATACGATCCTGGGTAAATTTTTGTTTAAAAATGTTGCTGAATGAATACGACTGTGAGGTACAGTAACTAAAATGCTCAATTCTCTGGTACAGAATTCAATGCCTGTGGATTTACCAGGGAAAAGCGAGGGTTTCATAGACTAAGATGGGGGGAACGGAAGGCAGGGTGGGTTTAGCTGAGTACTACAGGGCAAGGAATAGAGAAGTTACTCTGGGTGAGGAGAAGCAAGAAGTCGAAACACCGACAGCGGTGTGGGGGAGAGGAAGGAGGAGGGCACATTTGCCTTACCGGAGCACTGGATGTGGTGGAGGATAAAGGAAAATGCTTAACAGCTTTGCTTAAAATGCTTAAAATTCTCTCTGGCAGTGGTTAAAATCTCTAGGGAGCTAAGTAGATTATTAAAAAAAAAAAAAAAAAAAAAAAGGAAAAAAAAAACCCCAAACCCGCAAGTTACAATATATTTGAATGTGTAGGGTTTGAATATTACGGCTAAGTGGCAAGCGTAGAAATCACTGCTATTCTGTATGTACCCAGGTGCCCTCGTTCCCTCAGGATTGCCCCTCTCCTCCTCTGAAATACTTGATATATGTTGGGATCGTCACAGGCACTCACCTGCTTCAAGGATGCAGAAAGGAAAATGACTTGAAGAAAATCTAAAACTGAATTTGATCACAGAAAATATATAACAGGTCTTACATCTTCACAGGGCAGCTGAATACAGCTGCAGTAAATGTCATTCCCTTTGCCCATCACGGAAACTGATGTGAAATAAGGAACTTCTCCGAAGAGTTCGAGGACCAACAGACTGAGTTACAGAACTATTTCCCTGCACCAAGGTTAGCCTCTCTGGGGAGAGGGGTGTGTGTGTGTAGTGTTTTGTTTGTATACAGTCCCTGAATGGTGTGCTAAACAAAATAGGTAAATAAGTATTTCTTAAATAAAAGTTGTACGTCACTACTAATCAAAACTAATATATTTGGTTTTAGGGTCCAAAGGAGAGGGGAAGAGTTCTAAGAGTGGCTGAAGATGACGCCAAGAGGAAAGGCATAGATTTGGTTTGCTAACCCCTCTGGCAGGACTCCTGCCCCAGGCTGGCAGAGATCAGTGAGGGGGAAGGCAGGAGCCAGGCACTGCTTCAAGATGGTTTGAATTTGGCAAGACCGGGGGTAAGAGTTAATGATCTCCAGCCACATCGTGGTTTACCATTTCCTTTATGCTCTCTGTACCTTCTTAGCATGTGAGTGTCTGCTGTAGGGTGAGCTTTAAGATTTTCATTCTTTGGGGATTAAAAAAAAAAAAAAACCACCTCATGACTGTCCCGTCACTCTACAGATTCGTTACTTACACCCAACTGATTTTGGGAGAGAAAAGCTCACATTTGTGTGCATGTGCGGGACAGTGATGCCTTCCAAGGATGTTGGGAATCCAATCTAACAAAGATCGGATATACACAGCAACACATAACAAAGGGATTTACTGTCAAAACGTTTATTGCAAAATGGAGTCTTAAAACAAAGAAAAGCAGAGAAAAGTTCACATCAAAATGAAATGTATGACACCAACTTAGATTTCTGAATACATTGTGGACTCCGTGCCGGAATATCAAATTCCAACTACGAAATCAGTAGCTGAGTCGTCTTACCACACACGAGTGAAATGGAATCTTCCATACAAACATTATACACGATACTTGGCATAGGGTTTGCTCAGAATAACATTGTAATAGAATAGTTGAGGAAAAAAGGTTTTGTTAAAAAAAAAAGTGATAATGCCATCCTCTATTCAAAGCGCACACTCAATATAAATATTTTCTATTATTTAGTACAAAATTTGTTCAAAAGAGTGCAAAAGCAGTTTGTGCAGTGTACTGTACCTGACGTTAAAAGATAAACTATTCTGCACATTATATAAAATAATTAAGGTAGGTGCTGAAAATGCTAGTTGTAAAGTCAGTAATCACATGCCCAAAAGCTCCCCGCCCCTCCTCAGGCCACAGAATGCAATTCGGCTGAGTCAGAGGGGAACCCCCACTAGCCCTCGGCTTCCCTGGTGCACGGCAGAAATGCTGTTTGCAGGCTATGCCACAATCTAGAGAACGGACCAGATTCTTCTCTCTGGCCAGGCTTAAAGCCAGAACAGGAAAACAGCCTGACTCCAAAGCCGCAAAAGGTGCCTGATTATAGAAAAATGATGCCCTATTACGAACGTGGTGTGGTGAGACACTGCTGGTTGTTAACAGGGCTGCAACGAGTCTAGTGTTAGCAAAAACCCAAAAAAGTATCAGTGTTGAACTCCGAATAGCTTTTCTAATGAGCTTGCACGAAACACTCCTTACTCCAGAGAGCGCGCAGAGGACTAAAGTTCCGTATGTCCCAGAGAAGTCACGCCGGCGCTCTGCCGCATCTCGCCTCCGATTCCTTGACTTTAATGGGGATCCGTTTTGAATAGCTCAGCTGTTGCTTAGGTCTAACAAATCTGCTGCCTGTTAGAAATCACTGGCTGAACGCTGGCCCTCAGCCTTTCCAGGGCATCCCAAACAAGCGCACTCTGTGCTTTCAACCCCTTCCCCTGGGTTAAGTATAAAATATTAAAATGTGATTTTCCTTCAACAGAAGGCCCTTTTAAATTAACCTGACTGCTCTGCAGGACCAAAGCTTCCTCAGGGATGTGTTTCTGTTTTATTTATTTTGGATTAGTGTGATAGAGGAGAGTGAGCCCCTCCCCCAGGTACATTTTGGGGTTTTATGACGTTTCCACCAGGGGAAAGAAACCATTTTTCCACAAGTGGGGATTTAAGATAAATGTCACCGACCTCTACAATTCAGATTGTACAGTAGCTGTCATTTTGAAACTGTGCCTTTTGAGTCGAGCAAGTTTGTTTAGGGGCAGGGTGGGGGGGGTGAGTTGGAGAACTCTGAAACTGTCAGGCGTGTTTCTCGGTGCGGGGAGGGGCACTGCTCTTGGTACCGTGGGTGGAGTCCTTCACTGGGTGGAGCTGCCCAGGGGTGCTGGGCACTCAACCGCATCCCTGGTTCCCGTGAGGACCCAAACTCTGCCCCAGCACTTGCGAACATCATTAGGGGCCCCAGATGAAAGTGGCTGGTAGGGTGTTCTCATATTCTGTATGATCAGCTTTCTGAATACAGAAAAAAAGACTAGTTATATTCTCAGTTGTATGACTCTGACGATATTACCACAGAGTTTCAATTATCATTTTGAATCTCTCAATTTCTTAGGGTTTCTTTAATTATTCTCTTTATAAATGTACGTTCTTATAAGTCAGGTAATTGGAAATACATCCAGCAGCAAGAACTTGCCATTTCAAAAACTGATCTGGAAAGTGAATTAGAGGCAGCACAATTAACATCGTCTTTAGAAATTCTATGTAATAAACAGTTCTTTTAAGAAGTGATAAAACTAATAATAGAGTCTAAAGATCTTCTAAATCATCTTTACAGATAGAGTGAGACCACTTTAAAATTCTGTTTATACGATTCAGATTTTAGGGATGTTCAAACCCGCAGAAAGACACTGATTTGGAACAAGAGAGTAAAATAATGCCACGTGGTAATTACAGTAGAATTCCAAGTGGAGAACAGTTTTAAGTTTCTCACTGAAGCTTTCAATTCTGCTGTATCCTAAACCCCTGAGGTTTCTTTTTGGTAGAGTACTGAGCTACAGCCATCCTAGGAATACTGGTGAGGAAAGTGACAGCACTTGAGAGATTGGGAACTATTACCTCATTAACGGTAAAACCTTGGTCTGAGTATAGAGTCCGATTACCTTTCTCTTTTGCCCTAATTAGCTACTTTCATGAAAGCACCAAAATTTTATGTGTAATTATAATAGGCTTATATGT